GTGGCTATATACGAAAGCAACAACAGCAAAATTACGACTGTCGGTCGGCCTTCTTCCCCCTCATTTTCAATGCTGTTGCCGACAGCGACGATGATGATGTTGATGTTGGCTGTTGCCGCCACAAACCCTCACCTAGCCCTCTTTAACAGCAACACATCCTCAACAGACATCAAAATGTTACACAAACACAGGCAGACAAAGAGAGGCGCGCACACACACACAACAACCAGACACTCAATCAACCACAGTTACAACATTTGTATTTACATTTATTCTCATAACCTTTGCAAAAATTAATAAAAAAGAAAACAGCAAATGTACATAGAGGAGAGAGATTCTCTTCTGTTTTCCCATTACGTTTTTTTTTCGCGGAAAATAAAACCAGCTGTTGTTTGGCCTCTCATCCGTTTGTTGTTTGCAAATTGGATTCTGTTACTGATTGTTTTGTCTGCTGTTTGGACTGACCTATGTAAATATGAGAAATAGCGAACCACATACCGATACATGCTTAACATTTGCAGTGTTCCATTTTGGTAGTACTTATCCTATTTTTATGGCCTCCTTTTCCGATTAGCTTTCAAAATGCCAAATGATCTTTCTAATAGTTTATGATGGGAAAATGTGAAATATATTTAATATATATTTGGTCAGCAATTCAAAGGGACTTTGAGAATTGCCTGATGAGTATTGGTCTAAAATCGAAACTGGTAATAGAACCTTAAAGCATACATTTCATCTCCAAAAGAGGAATTTTCAACAATAAATACTGGAATGATTATGGGTCTTCAGCAGTATCTATAAATACAATGATCTTATGATCATGTTTTTCTGAAAAAAATAAATATGTGTAGAGGATGAACATTACTGTGGAAAGCTATTGAAGAGTTTCTATTTAAAGAGTAGATTTACATGGAAAAGCTCTAGAAATGTCTTCCACCTATAGAAGATCTCCGAAAGGGTATTATATTTATAAAAGATATCTAGAAGTATTTTCTGCTATAAATATACATCGAAAAAACTGTGAATGAAAATCGCCTTGAAAGAGAAACTACAGTCACTTCCCCTTCAAGAGACAGAAGATTTGTATGTCCTCAAATATATCTAGCCAGTCTAGATTAATATGAATATACCTCTAGATCTTAAATAGATTTCTATGATGGAAATAACGACTTCAACACATGTTCTAATATTTTTCGAACTCTGATAGATGGCCTTCAAAATAGCTAAGATGGTGATTTTGGGTCTCTATCGAATGCCTTAACACTTACCTTGCCCTTAAACCTTTTATGCCTGCCAATAGAACCCACGGTACGATTTTTTTGTCTTCAGAATTGCCATTTATATATAGAGCATACATTAGGCAATCTGGAGACGATTTTTTCCATTTTCATATATATCAATTTGCACATTTTTGACAATGGTTAATCTTTGGCCTAGGAAAGGTATAATCAATTTTATTAATTTGAACTTACGTTGTAACGTTGGACAAAAAACAAACCGTAGATAGTATCCTGAAAAAAAAAATAATTAGATATCTCATTCCACATTTGATTTGCGGCGATTTAAGTACGATCTATTTTAATAGGTTAAAGCAGAAAAAATCAGCTTTACGATTTCAAGCAAATCATTAGTTTCTTGCAAATACCTCCATATTGTAACCTTATCCATGATTCAAAATTACAAAAAAAAAGTTTCAAAGTTGGAAATGTGAACTTTCTCTTTCCAGAATCCTTTATGACTTTGCTCTAATTACCATTAATAAAATGGGGATCTCAACTTCCTATTTCTGAAGGTGGATTTTCACACTTGTAATGGATCATGGGTCTTTTTATGGGCACTTATGGATCTGTACAAACATTTTTGGCTGATCTATCGGATATTTGTTTGCTAGTTATTTCTAATAGTCATGGATCTGTAGTCGAAAGACTTTAAACAGTTAGTCGGTTCTACAAACCTAATACCAATGAATCCTATTGAAGGCTTCTGACAAGCTATGTACATTATATGCATTTTTTAAATGCATATTTATGGAACCGAAGTTCGGTTAAACTTGGGTCAAATTATATTATTTTAAAGTGTTTCTTGCGTAAATTTAGTTTTTTATTTATTCAAAATTTCTTTCAGCGTCAAAAAATGTATAATTTTCAACTTCTCGAAATATGTTTTTCATCTTTGTTAACAGACGTCAGTCAGTCAGTCATAACAACAATAATAAAAATATTCCATTTGAATGAAAAAACGCCAATAAAATATTTCCTTAAACTAAAAATAGACAATTCAGTCATATCCCTAAAACCGGCTGACTTCTTCTGCTGGACTTCTAAAAATTCCAAAGCATTCAATGCCCAAACTAGGGTAACCAGACCATATTACAACAAAACCACACACGCATACAGGCAACACACATGCGCCCAAAAGTGTAACATAATTGAAAAATGAAAATTGAAATGAAAAGAAAAGAAAGAAAGGAGACGGAAAGGAAATACAAAAAGAATTAAAGAGTGGTACAGTGGGTCTGGGTCGTCGTTGTCGTCGCCGTCGTCTTCATTGTCCATGACGACAATGATGGCGGTTTTGGTGTCGCTTCTGTGTGTCATTTTCATTGAAAGCAAATACAACGGATGGTTGATGGATTTTCCTGTGTATTAACTGTGTGTGTTTATGTGGAATAAGCCGATCTCCCTGCTGCCACCCTCTCTCAAATCAAATGAAATACAATAACAATTTCATTTAATTTGGTTTGGTTTTCTGTTTGTTGTTTTGTTTTGCTATTAGCGCGCACACACACAGACACATGGCACGAATGCAAAATGCGCATGAGAGGCAAAACCAAACGGAACCGAATACTCACACACACATACACATCTACACTCGTAGATAAAGCCCCACACACTGCACTCTGTGCACTTTTGGATTACAAGTGAGAGTGAAAACAAACTGTTATTGTGGCTCCCCAATGTGATGGGGAGTAAAATAAAACAAAATAGAGAGCGAGCGAGAGAACTGTTATGTTAATAGTGGTGAGTGTGAGATAGCATTTGGTTGGGTTGCATAAAACTGAGTATTTGTTGATATTGATGTTACTCTTTCGTGTTGGAGCACCTCCACTTGCAATCGTTGTTTGTTGTTGTTTGGCTATATGAGAGTGCGTCGTATATTAAAGTATACGATTGTGTGTGTGTTTCTGTGTGCAATGGAGAGTTTAGCAAACAATCAACAATGTTTTGGAATCGTACACTCGTTCGTTGCTTGATTGCAAAATGTTTTTCTACCGTTTAACGTTGTGTGTTGTGTTTGCAGCCAAACAGTCGTCATCGTTTTTCTTCCCCATGCACACACATTGGTCCGTACATATAGCGGTGGCGGTAATTCAACGGTGTATTAATAAGATTCCCCAAAAACTGTCTTCGTAGTTAGTTTATTTTTGACTCTTTGTAATTTCTTACAACTGGAGAAAAATTCATTAGAATTTGTAAAGTTGTAATGTTGTTGCAGTAAATGTTAACAATTCTCGGTTATGAAAACGAGCAACAGTCAAAATAACCATTGCAAATACCAGACTATTGGTTAACAGTCTGTGAAGCAGTCAACAGTCACCAGTCTTTATCCAGCAAACAAACCAAAGCCCTCATCATCAACATCATCACATTGCCACCATCATCCAGCCAGCCTGCCTGCCATACATCCATCTAAGCTAACAATCAGCAACAAACAAGTAAGCAGTCTGTCAACCAGGCAGCCAGCCAACCAGTCATCCAGTCAGTGAGCCAGCCAGCCATTCAATTGTGGGACTGCTCCAACAAAACAGCAGCAACAGCAACATCGGCAGCAGCAACAACAACTATGGCAGCGCATGCTTATATGTGTACACAACGAAGACGACGATGACAACAACGACAACGAATAACAACATCAGCGGCAGCAGCAGCCACCAGCAACGACGAAAACTGAAATGAAATAAAAAACAACAAAAAATTATATCGAGTCGCAGCCACTTCAGCCGTAATCAACTTATTTCAGAAACTACAAATTTCAGTTTCGCTGATACCGTAAGAGATAAACGACGTTTGTGTTCGAACGTTCGAAAGCGAAAACCAACCAGCCAGCCAGCCAACCAAACAAACATTTCAAAACAATTTCAAACACACATTCTTTGGATTCAAAACTGTGAACTAAGACAAATAAAATTGAAAATTATTATTTGAAAAAAAAAATGAATTGAAAAACAAAATTCTGTAAAGAAAATTGAAATTGTAATTTTACTGCGGATACGGATACAACAAAAGCAACGTTCGGAATTATTGCAAATCGTGTGTTAAATGCGAGAATTGTTGTGAATTTTTTCCATGTGTAATATTTTATATGATGCTGTTTGTCATCGTTGTCGTCAGTCAGTCAGTGTTCTGTTCTTTAGTCAGTCACGGTCGTTTTTGTTCTAAATAAAACGAAAAAAAAAAACAAATGCAACAACAGCATCAATAGCTGGTGGCACACAACTAAAAAAATTAAGCAATGCAAAAATTATGGACTGGATTTTAATTGGGACAGGAAGCCAACAACAACAAATAACCACAACAAAATTAAGTGTTTTGAATATTAAAAATTAATTTATTTAAGAGAAAAGTGTATCAAATTGTTTGTGTCATTCCGAAAACAAAAAGGAAAATAAAATATTGAAAAAGTGACAAAAAAACTAAACTCGTCCGTTAAATCTAACAACAAATGTACAAAAAATTACCTCAAAAAAATCCATTAATTCTAAACAAAATTTTATTAAAGAGAAAATAAATATTTAAATTAAAAAAGAAATAAAATCTGGTCTCAGGTACAAAAGTTCTACAAAACATTGCCTAAAAAAGAAATCAACTAATTAAAGAAAATTATTATTGAAAATTGGTGTTAGCAAAACCAAAATGTTTTCGTTGGAAAAATAACTTCTACCCACAGTACAATCCTTTGAATATTTATTTAATTAACTAAATAAAATACTGTACAAAACAAACAGCAACATGATTATGGTGCAACATTTGGTGGCAGCAAATGCCCATACATTTGCCAATGCAGCCAATGCCGCCACAGCCTCGCCTTCACCCTCGCCACCTGCCACAAATGGCCATTTGCATAGCCCGCTGGCATCGCCCACAGCTTCCACGGCATCCACATCACAGCAGACAATAGCCAGCTCACCCCTATCATCACCGGCAGCCGGTGATATGGTGGCGGCAGTCTCAAAACTAAGCTGTAGCCTGGATTCGAATCACAGCCACAGCAACTCGTCCAACAGCTGTCTGATGTCATCGCCGCACAGGAATACAAATGAGGTCAAAGAAAATTGGTCCCAAGCCGCAGCGGCAACTCATATGCGTACAACGCCTTTAGATGCAAGCAACATAAATCCCAAAACGCCAAGTGCCATATGTGCAGCAGCCGAACGGCATGACGATGAAGAGGAGCCCGAGGAAGAACACATGACCTACAACCACAACAAGCACAAAGCTTCTTCACAGAGTCCCCAGCACACGCCAGCCACTTCACCGGCACTGTCGCATCACTCCTCCACCACAACCTGCTCATCATCACAAGTTCAAAAGCATGCGGACGAAAAGTCCCGAAATGAGGATAACCACGAAACGAATCCCATTTCGACATGTGAAAAGTTCGCCGTCCTCTACAACCATTTACGGCAACAAACACAACAACACACACGTCCAGATTCAATGGACACCGAATCCATTCCACAGCCCATACGGCGATCGGTTATCACCAGTCGCGAGGAAGAGGACTCTTTGTCCGAAGAGCGATCAGCATCGGCAGCCTCTGTGGAACATAATGTGAACAACAAGGATTCCGATGATCAACGACACTATGATCCTCATTCACATCCTAATCACCCGCCAACGCATCATCACCACCATCACCATTTGACACATGGTCATCCTCCCTCGGATCATTATCACACCGATGAAGAGGACGAGGAAGAGGATTTCGATGATGAAGCCCCCTTGGATTTATCGCTGCCAACAAAACTTGCCAGAAATCGTTCCCATACCTATTCCGGTTCCGATTCTGATGATTCGGGATCGGGTTTGAATGATGGGGAACGAGGAGTTGGAGGTTTGGCACGTCGCCTAAAGCCGGAGGAACGTAAAGCTGCTTACAAAAAGTCACTAATGAAAAGATATTGTAAGTTGACAAGACATATTTTTTTAATAATTTGATTTTAACCCATTGCGAAATGGGGTGATATTTAATCAAAATATATTTTATTGTTTACAAATTTAAAATTTTGAAAAAGGGTAATTTTAAAATCTATTGATTTTACATACAAGCATTCTTCAAAATCCTTTAAAATAATGAAATTTTGATTTGATTGATATTGTATATAAATCACAAACATTGAAAAATAGAGTGAACCCTTTCTCTCTGCAATGAATGGGATATTGAAAATGTTTATTAAAATGCGTATAATTAATATAAATACGAGTATAACAGGTTAATCATACGCAATTCATCTCTTAACGTTTGATTGAATTACTCTATAATTCTTCGTACATGAGGTTGTATTTTGACGTTTAAGAATTTATTATTATATTAATCATACGTATCCAGAGAATCATTTTAATTACAAATTATTAAATGAAAATTAAAGTTCATTAAAATCATCATCGTAAGTTTAAAATTTAGTAAAGCGATCAAATAATTTTAAATTATTATTATTCATACGCCACATTGCAAGAATAGAACAGAATTAGGAATTTACACATTGCATTTTAATTGGAATTTTTGTTTAAAATGTATCATATGTATCCTCCCTTACTAGATTTGTAATACCCATCCATTTCTCACTATAATATCTTCCTTTCAAAAGGTCACACATTCTAAACCGAATCGAAACTTTTTTTCGAAAATTGACATATAAAAACAAAACCAATTATATCATGATATGTTAAATGTTGGTGGGAGAAAACGTGATGTTATGATGTATACATGCATACATACGTACAATACACCGATGACTGACAGCTACTGTTTACCTTGTAGACAACCCCATTTCTTAAAGATGACAAAAAACGCTTGCCTTGTCTTCTATTCGACGAATGACATTTAGATCAAAACCAGAAGTATGGCTTATGAGAAAAAAAAATGATACGTTTTTCTTCTCTTTGTCTTGATTGGGTATTCTCTCATAGGATAGATAAATTATATATTTTTATTTTATTTTTTGCATCAACAAATATAATTTTTAATTTATAGAAATTTTAATGCGATTTTAGTTTGGTGTGTTCGTAAGAATATTTTTGAATATGTTGTAAATAGAATGGAATATCAATTAAAAATATGTCATACATATCAATTAATCATACTTATCATTCTTTAAATCATATCATTTTTTAATACATTCCGACAAATCCAATTTTGAAATTTTTTTAGCGATAACTAAAAAATGTATGAATTTGTATTAATCATGTGTACCATCGTTCTATATTTATGGAACGCTTGATGCACTTTTACATAGATTTTGAATGAACTTTCTTGAGTATTATTTGGGGTCAACAAAATTATGTCGTCCTCTATAAGAAATACATTAAATTCCATTATAACTTTCAGTATGATGATTTTGAAAATATTAAATTCATCATACGCACACAATTTCAATGAAGAATTTCTTTTGAATATTGTTTATGGGGTTTCCATATTGCTGAAAACATGCAGATGAGCAAAAACGGTCATATGGGCGAATCAAATAGTCTGTGAAAGGCTGATGATTCTACAAATAGGACTAAAAGGGCAGTATGTCTATATGTACAACTCAAAGGGACAGCGAGTCTATAAAAATTAGATTACTTCACATGAATACTATAAAAAATGCAACAAATGATCGAATCTCCAATTCATTGAAGTCTACTTAATATACGATGAATTTTAAATTTATATTAATCATACGCACTATGTAGTAATATGGAAAATTAGATAAATTTTTCTTTATAAAATGTTTTTGAGATTTTTTTAATTCTATTACAATGCACATGTATTTATTTAAATACAAAATTTAAATACAGCCAAAGTCGTATATAAAGACGGTCAATGGACCAGCCATATATAAGCGATATGAACTAAAGAGGAGAAATTTCCTCCGATCTTTGGATACCGTCGTTATAACCGATATATGTCGCTATATTCACTGTCGTTATACACGATTTCGACTGTATTCGTTCTGAATTAAATTAAATTATAATGATCATACGCCCCATTGCTCGAAGAACCTTCTAGTTGCCTTAGAAATAAATAATTGACTTTACTCAAAGGATTGACCTAAGCCAAACATTCAAAATTTTGGGAAGATAAATTCCTCTATTTCTTTTATATGAGGACAACATTTCAGGAGCGTTTCCAACTCCCTCGAGGCCATGACAAATAGGATAAAGAACACTAATACATTCAGAATATTAATATCAGAATTTTCTAATTTTAAAATAAATACAAATTTTAATACTCATACGAAACATAGATCCCATTCGGTTAAGTTAACATTTATACAATTTATTTCACAATTCTCCTTTTATTATAATTATTTACCTATTGATGATTTCCAAAAACAATCAGCGTTCTCATTTTCTAAAATCCATCAAATTGACCTTCAAAAACTATTCATTTTGCAAATTATAACTACTTTTGTTTTACATTGCCTACCTTATAATATCTTCCAACTTCCTTTAATTATTCCTATCCCTAATATGCCTATAAATATTCAATCAAAATTGAAAATCATTTCCATACAACTATAAATACCTTAATCCGATTTTTTTATTTTCCTCAGAATTCTTAGATTCCATTCATTCATTAAAAAGAAAACAACTGAAAATGTTCAAAAACCATAAAATGTTATGGTTTGTTTTATTCAAAAAATACTCTCCCCCTATTTTGAATTGTGTAAAACAAACCCATCCAACATTATGATATTCAATAATCGGTGGCCTTATAGCCTATAAAATCATTAGCATTAGAGTTGATTCTGAAAGTTTGTTTTTGATGTTATTGCTGCTGCTGCTGCTGCAGATGACGATGATGATTGAGTAAAAGTTCACCTACAAACTAACCCCAGCTCCATTTAAAAATACTAGAATCCAGCAATAACAACAATAATAACAGCAACTATAACTAAAAAACCTCCAACATGCACTTACAATGACCGACCTGAACTATAAACCAACATGCATAAAGTGCAAAAATGTTTTTTTTTCTGTTTCATAGTTCTAGTTGTTGTTGTTGCTGATGTTGTTTTTTTTTTCTATAAAACAAAATCTGGGTCAATGCGGAAGGAAGGCATTGCATGACATGTGCCATGTTATATGGCAAATATGTGTGTAAGTGTGTCTGTTTGTGTGTACAGGCGGGGGTTATAATGCACACGAGTCTATGCATGTGTTTTTTCGCTCTGTGTAGTTGTACTTACTATGTGTGTACGTATGTTCCGTTGTCGGCAGGGAGGTTATGAGTATGTATGCCTGCATTTAACACAGTGTGGCAAATGCAAGGCAAAGTTATATGTCATGTGATGCCATAATTTAGGCCATCAGCAGCAGCAACTGCAGCAACACACCAACAAACGACCCAACCAACCAACCAGCCAACAAACCAACCAACCGACCGACCGACGAACCAAACAAAACCAGCAGCAACAACAACACGATTCTCATCAACTGCACCAGCAGTTGTTGCCTGTTATTAAACATGCACTTTTAATCAACTTTAGCTTTTTACAATTTCCGGTTTTTCATATGAATGGATATTTTTGCGAAATCTAGTCACACACACACACTCGCACACACTCAGTTACATTTACACCGACTAAACAGCCACAACGACAACAACCATGGCAAACATTAAAATAAACAATTTCCTTTGAAAGGAAATTCTTAGGAAATTTAACAACTACAACAAATTACCATAATTTTAATTCTATGTATGTATTGGTGTTGATGATTCACACACATACACACGCCCACCCTAAACATACACTTATACTATAGTAGAGGAAAGTAGTTAAGTTGCAATGAAGAAAATAGTGTTGGTGGTAAATAGCTGAAAGTGAAATTATACACTCGAGAAAAAAATCGAACAAATAAATGGCAAATGGTTGACATAGTTATTTATGGTGGATATAAATTAAAAAAAGTATGGGTACACATATAATCGATGGATATTATAAGGATATGGATATTTATCACTTTTTTATAAAAATATAATTTTATATGTTTTAAAATTTAGAAAATATAGAAATTAATATATTTTATTTGAATATTTCAAAATGTTAATTTTTCCATTATTTTTTGTACTTTAATTTTTCTCATTTTAATATAAAATTAAAAATGTTCGGCTTTTTAAATACATTGAGCAAATTGTATATTATTTTAATTAAAAAATAATTGTTAACATTTAATTTTTAACGTCAAAAAAACTATGTTCAAATTACTTTAATGTTTGATCGCAACATTTTTAATATTAAAAAAATATTTTATTTAAAGAACAACAAAGTCGTTTTGTGCATTTGTCGCGACGTGACACACAACAGTGGCAAAGGCATGGTATTGTTTCTTAATGCCTTGTTAACCTCGAAGTGAGGCACCAGCGAAATGTTCAAATTTAATGTTAAAATAATTTAAAATTAGAAAATTTTAAATTAAAAATAAGTATTTAACATCTTAATATAAAAAAAATAATTTTATAAAAATACCATTTAAAAAAATATTTTATCTTTGTAACTTACTTCTCTCTTAAAACAAAATAATGAATTTATTTTGAAATATCAAGAAATCTGTCAACTCACTAACCCATCACACAATTTAGTGTAAGAACTAATAAACACTATAACACATGGAAATAACTAACCAACGACAAATTACGAATTTGTTTACATTCACTCGTCTGTCTGTCTGCCAACCATCCAGCCTAGATGGCTGGCTGACTGACTGACTAAATGTCTTACAACATACCTTCCATGTGACTCTCTTTTTTGTGTTGGAGATTTAAAGCTCTCATTAATATAATTTATTTGTCTCTGAATATAAAAAAAATTTTATGCGTATCGACTATGCCTACATGCTCTTTTTACCCTATGTACGTCAGTGTGTGTGCGTCTGTGTGTGTGCGCTTTTATAGTGAAATGTTCACTTTTTTTTTGG